ACTTGAACATGTTAAGTAGCTTTCTCCTCCTGCATTTGAGATTCTCTTTGTTTTTGTCTTTCAGTGGTTTTGTCTTTCAATGGTTTGATTATAATTTGTCTTGTGGATCTCTTTGTGATTATTCTTCTTGTTGTTCACTGACTTTCTTGGATGCATACATTCATATCTTTTATCAAATTTGGGGCCATTATTTTCTTCAACTGTCATTTCTGCCCCTTTCTATCCTCTCCTTCTTGCACTCCCATTATGCTATTTGGTATGTTTGATGGTATCTCACAAGTCTCTTAAGTTCTGTACATTTTTCTTCACTCTTCTTTTTGCTCCTCAGACTGGATAATTTCAATTGACCTAGCTTCAAATTAACTAGTTCTTTCTTCTGCCTGCTCACATCTGGTGTTGAAATCATCTAGTAAAATTTTCATTTTGGTTATTGCACTTTTTCAGCTACAAAATTTCTATTTGTTTTCTTGTTATAGTATCTATTTTATAATATTATATTTTATATATTCTCATTTTGTTCATATATCTTTTTCCTGATTTCCTTTAGTTCATTGTCCATAATTTCCTTTAGCTGTTTGAGCATATTTATGACAGTTGATTTATAGTCTCTGTTTAGTAAATCCAATACCTACCATTTTTAAGTTCCCTCTTTTCTTGATTTATCATTTGCTTGATAACGTTTGACTAGTTTCCAGAGTTCTGACAAAGTTGATTCTGACAATGTCTGCCCATTGTGTGTGGGAAGGTATGTGTGCATGCACATGCATGTGTGTGTGTTTCTGTGGAGGGATGGACCCTTGAAGCTACTTATTGTGCCATTTTCATTGATGTCACCAACCCTCAGATTTCTGGCTAGCAATTTCACCAAAGTAACCACTATCCCCTTGAAATGACACTCTTTTTTTGAATACCCCCTTTCACCATATCTTTAGTCTCTCCTTCTCCACCAGCTATTTCCCTCTGCTCCAAAATTACTCAAAACTCTATTTCCCTAAATAGTAACTTCCCCTTAGTCTACCTTCTTCTCAAGATCCTTCCATATGTATCTCCTACCTTCTCTATTAAATTTTTTGAGATATCAGCCCCTACCCTCCTTCACACTGAACTTATCTCACTCTAAGCTAAAATAGCTCACTAAATCCCTCTTTACTATACATAGGCTTCAGCCAGTTCCCCAGCTTAGAAACCTCAAAGTTTCTCCTGACTTTTCTTTCTTTTTCAGATTCAGTGTAGTCCTACTTCTCATCTCTCCTTTCTAAAACATTGCTTTCTTTATACCGTCCCACTTCTCAAAAATACTCCATATTTCTTAATACTTTCCACAGTAAATCCCCCACTGTTCAGGTAACCCTTCAAAACTTTCATTCTAATTGCATTCTACTTAGCATTCACTGAGTTCCCTGGGCCAGGTTCTGGGGAAATAAAGAGCTGACTAAGACATTATTCATATTTCCAGAAACTCATCATCCAACAGATGAAACATGTAAACAAATTTACTCCAAATTTCTGGCCTGATATCCTCACCAGAGGATGGGCAAGACCTCAGCACCACCTCCATGCTCTAAGTGGTATCCAGTGATGTATGAGAGTCCCCAAGGGATGCTTCTCATGGGCCACCAAAGCAACCTGCCAGCAGTAGCTTCCATGAGGTATCTTTCCAATTCTTCATCTCCTTTTCTAATTCTAGTCCTCCACTTGGGGGATGGACCCTTAGAGCTACTTGGATGCCCTGCCTATTCCCAAGAACATCAATATCCATGCCAAAGGTGCTGACCCAGGATGCTCCCCAAAAAAGCACCAGTGCTGATTCCAGGCAGAACAGAGAAAATGACCTCCTCGTGCCTTCTTGGCCACACCGCATTGCCCGGTCCCCAAAGCAGCTCTCCTTGTGTCCAAAGTCTCACAGAGGGTCTTTTGAACATTTTTGGAGCATCTGATCTTCACCATACCTGAGCATATTGGCACAAATCTAGTTTTATTTTTGGACCTGCAGGGAACTACTCCTACAACCTCACCCAACCTGCATTCCTTCTCCCTTTGCTCCACCACAAACTCCTTTCTCCTCCCACTGTACCAATGCAAAACCCCACAAATATAAGCAGAGGCAAACAGATATTTTAGCTCATCCTTGAAGGATAAATAGGACCTTACCATGTAGAAAAGGTGGAGAAGGGGATTTTAGGCAGAGGGAACAGCAGTGAAAAGAAAGCAGGACATTCTTGGAAGAATTACAAATAATTAAGCAATGGAGAACTCCATGTTTTTATTCAAAACCCCGGCACAATGTCATGTCCTGTGAAGTGTTCCCTGACAACCCACAACTGTCCCCAGTCCATCATTGTCACAATTTATGCTCCCATAGAACACATACTTCTATCAATTCAACATTTATTGAGCTAGAAATTGTGCTAAATTCTAGGAATACAGAAATAATAAGCAGAATCCCTGCCCTCAAGATTATGAAAAAGAAAGGAAAACAATCTTGTATTATAACAAAGAGAAAGAAGTATGTGCTATTGCATGCACAGGATGTAAGAGTAGTATGAGGGCCACGCAGAGGTGAGCCCCACCTGAGTCAGTGCCCAACCCACTACACCCAAACTAACTACTCATTAATCTGCCAGACACCTCTACCAGATAGATGGTGGACCCAGAGGACTGACAATGTCTTATTCATATTTGTACTCTGTTCCCAGCCCAAAAACTAGTACAGGGTCTAAATGCCATGATTTATAAGGTTTTATTCATTTATATTCATATAAATGAACAAATGGTAAAAATGAATGACTTTTTAAATAAACTAATAATTGCAATCTATAAAACCAAGGGACCTTACAGAAGTGTGCAAGACAAGGGAAGAACAGCTCCTGAGGAGTCCTTGGGCCACTGAGTAAGTCCAGATCCCTTACTAAGAGGAATTGAACCTTAACGTTCTGGACAGAGAACCTCCAAGAGAGGGGACAGAAATGCGTCGATTCGCTTAACAAATAATCACTGGATGTCTACTGTGTGCCAGGCACTGTTCAAGAGTGTCCACAATGGTAAACAAGACAGACAAAAATCCTTGCTTTCATGGAGCTTACATTCTAGTGGAGAGGAGAGAGAATAAACAAAACAAATTATTAAGTATACTAGATGTTAAGTACTACAGAGAAAAATAAATCCAAAGTCAGCTGGATGTGCAAGGGTGGGTGGGGGGTGGTGGTGAGGAAAGAGTGGTCAGTGGTCACATTTCTCCAAAGTCTCTCTGAGAGGGACCATTTACATTAAAGACCTTAAGTGGGCAAAAGAGTGAGCTGCATGGATACCTGGAGGAAGTGCATTCCAGGCAGAGGGAATTGCAAGTGCAAAAGCCCTGGCTTGTTCTAGAAATAGCCAGGTGGGTGGGAGCAAAATGAACAAGGGGGAGAGTTATAGGAACTAGGTCAAAGAGAGAGAAATGGCCAGATCATTTTGGTAGTTATAGGCCATCGTAATGATATTGTTTTGTTTTGCTTTTGTTACTGTTTTAACTTTCTTTGCTGACATACAAAGAGAAAAACTGTACAAATCCTAAATGTCAGATCAAAGAATTATCCTAAAATGAATAAATCTGTGTAGACAAATACAGATCAAGAAACAGAGCATCATCAACACTCCGGAATCCCTCCTTCACAGCTTTCCTGTGCTCTCCCCGGCTCTCCTCAAAGGCAACCATTCTCCTGCCTTCTAACAGCATAGATTTGTTTTACCTGTTTTTAACTTTAAATTAGTGGAATCATACCATTGTAGGCTTTTTTTTGTATCTGGGGTTTTTTTCCTCAAGATTTTGCATGTGACGTTCACCCACGTGATTGCAAGAGGGATAGGGGGTCAAGATGAGGAATGACAGCATGTTTACGTGCTGATGGACAAGACATAGTACAGGGGAGGAATTGATGATGGCAATGTCCACGTGCCTGGAACCCACAGCAATCCAGGAAAGAGAGAGGAAGTAGAAGCTCACCCAGGAGCTGAGTATTAGGATCTCAAGAGACATTTCCTCCTCTACTCAGCTCCTCTCCTGAGAAATAAAAGATCCTGAGAAAGCTGAGGTCATGGTTATGGTTATTTATTCATTGACCCACTCAAACATTTCCACAGACCCCACTCTGTGTCAGACACAGTGCTGAGTGCTGAGATGCAAGCATAATTAAGGCATCATCAAACAAACAAGTAAACAGAGGAGTACAGAAGAGTGTGATAATTGCTAAGAATTTGGGGAAGGATGCTAAGGAAGCACGTTCTTTAAGAATCATTGTGACCATTTCACCTTTTTTGCTCAAACATTGATGGCTCTGAGAGAGGCTCACAAGAATGTGGCCATTATATGTTCCTTAGAAATTATTTTTATTATTTGTATATTTATCAGTTTTATTTCCTCAACTACTGTGCTATAATCTTTTTGAGAGTAGAAAAGATATCTTCTGGTATCATGAAAAGAGCACAAAGTAGTTAGAAGTTCTGGGTTTGACTCTAGACTCTGCTATTCGTTAGCTGAGTAACCCTGGGAAAATCAGTTAACCTTTCTGTTTCTCAGTTTATTTATAAACAGAGATAATAATATCCATCCTGCTTGCCTCTCAGAATTGTCAGCATCAATGGAATCATGGATAAGAAGAACTGTATACACCACAAATCCCTGACATTAGTCCCTGTTATTAGTCTTCCAAATTGCACAAGCCTACTATGTTGGACACACAGTAGGTAATCAGTAAATGTCAGGCTTTAATTATACTTCATCAGCAAAGACTTGCAGTTTTTGGGGTCTGTAGTTCCCTGTGCCCCGCAGCCTAATGCCCTAAGAATTCAGAACCTGGGTCACGGAGTATGGTCATGAGCCTGGAAGGACCAGCCAATATGGGACCATCTGAACCAACTCTGCATTAACCAAGAGTACCAGACATTTTGTTGGGGGTGGAGCCCACCAGAGGTTGTGGTTCCAGGGACAGTTTTAAAGCCTTTTCCTTCTGTGTTTACAGGGCATGTAGTTTCACAAAATAGCTCAACCCCATTGACAGTGAATGGAGTTCTGGGGGAGTCAGTAACTCTTACCTTGAAGTTTCCTGAAGGAAAGAAGGTTCATGCCATCACCTGGCTTTGCAATGGAACATCTATCGCCTTCATAAAGCCAGATGAAACCAAAAGTCCAACCATCCATGTGACCAATCCAAAATGGGCAGAGCGACTGAGCTTCACCCCATCCTACTCCTTGCATCTCAGCAACCTGACAGTGGCAGACACAGGATCTTACAGCGCCCAGATAACCACAGAGACCTCTATGATAGTTTCCAGCTACACTCTGAGGATCTTCGGTGAGTCTAAATGTGGGGTGTAATTATATACGGACTAAAAAACAATAATGTATTTCAATCCTATCTGACTGCACGTGTGCACGGTAGCCTAGTGGTAAAGAGTGTAGCATTTGGAGTCAGAATGCAGTCCAGTGGTGAAGCAACCCTATGACATGGCACAGCCAGTTAGGGACAGAGCTGAGAATAGAACCTATGTCTTGTGACTCCCAGCCCAAAATCACCTTACTGCCCCTCACCCAATAAAATGGTCCTTTTCAACTAGAAATGTAGCAAACGTAATGGAAGTGAACTATTCATGATACAGCTATCATGTGTATTGCATACATCTACCATGTAATTGTCACAAAAGCTCCATGAGACAGGACAATCCTTACCCCTGAGGCGCAGCCTCAGTCACAGTAACTTGTCTACAGTCGCAGAGGTGGTAAGTGCCAGCACCTCCTACAGAACCACCTTGTCATGATACCTCCCTTTACAGAAATGCTAGTCTGACCCAATAAAGCAGTGTGTGTACAGGACAGTAGTCTGCCTAGAAAGTTCTCTGTAAGGATGAGCTGATAAAGAGAAATGTCTTTTCTGTCAAGGTTATTTAATGTCTAACAATATTTTCCCTGAGACAGCTCATGTTGATTACTAGTCAAAACTCTGCCTCCCCAAGGTTAAAGAATGAAAATGTCTACAATGTAAAATTATGGAAACTATGATGAGATAGCTTCCGAATCAATACCAGAAAAAAAAATCTTTCTGGCAGTCAATGATGTTCAGAGATGCCATGAATGGCTTTAGGATAATCCCTTGGCAGCAACGTCATACCAGAGATTCAAGCATTAAATTGGCAATCAGACAACACAACACTAAAGGCCACTGAGATTCTATAATTCTTATCTGCTAGAGAGTCCATAGTGTCTAAAACTCACTCAGAGTCCTCTGGGTTAAGACATGGTACCCCAAAAAATCACTGTTAAACTAAAATGTCTCCACAAATAGATTACATGTTAACCTTTAGCATCCCCTGAGGCTTTGACAGGTTTACCATGTTAGATTAGTCAAAGTCATGTCCTTGAAAGAACAGGACACAGAACAGGTAAATGTGGTGGGAAGGAGAGAATGTCTGGAAAAGTCCTGTACAAGAGATTCCAACAAAATGGGCAAAATCACCCAGGGGCAGTGTATTAACTTCTTGAGGCTGCTGAAACAAAATACCACAAACTAAGTGGTTTAAAACAACAGAAATTTATTCTCTCACAGTTCTGGCCAGAAGTTCCAAAATCCAGGTGTGGGCCGGGGCCTAGGGCACAATCTGTTCTTTGCTGCTTCTAGATTTCGACTGCTGTCAGCATTCCTTGGTGGTCCTTGGCTTGTGGCTGCATCATTCCAGGCTCTGCCTTCATGGTCACATCACGTCCTCCTCTTCTCTGTGTTTTCTCCTCTTCTGTCTGTCTCGAATATCCCTTTGCTTTTCTCTTATAAGAACACTTGTCATTGGATTTAGGGCCCACTCAGATGATCCTGGATGATCTCCTCATCTAACTTGATTCCATCTGCAAAGACTCCTTTTTCCAAATAAAGTAATATTCAGATTCTGGGAATTAGGACATGGACATATCTTTTGTGGGATCATCATGCAACCCACTACAGGTAGGATCACTCTGGGTGACCAGCGAACATCAAGATGGTGCTAGGACACTGAGAGAAGAAAGAAATGTGTAGTGGATATCCTGAGAATAGACCCCATACCAGGCTCCATCACATTAACTAAGACAATGTTCTTCTGACACTATTGAGAAGACCAAACATGATTTCTCCCGCAATAGCCACACTCGTGAGGTTCAATGTCAATTTCTTTTTGGGGCTTTTTGGAGTACCTCTTCTTCAAAGGCACATACACAGATGTGTAAGCTATACCAGCTAGTTTTACAATAGTGAAAGGGAATTTCAAGTTATGAACTATATAGGTTTTTAAGAAAAAAAAAACATTGACCAATCTCTCAGTATATGCCAGGATAGGAATGGTAAAGATTTGATTTTATGGACCAATATCAATTAATTGGGAGTGACTGCCTAGAGTTCAGTGTTAAGAAAGATGTTGAAGCCATGTTAAGTTTATTCGTAGAGTCTTTTGGGATCACAGACAATGTACAAGGCACTGTTCTAGGCACTTGGAATACATCAGTGAGCAAAACAAAGATCCCTGCCCTCATAGAGCCGACATTCTAGATGGGAAGTAAGGCAGGCGATAAACAATACCCATCATAATAAACAAATGATACATAGTATGTAAGGAAGCCATGAGTGCTTCTCTCCCCTCCCACTTCTCCCAAGGGCCACCCTGTCCCATACTGATGTCTCTCATCATTTGGCTGTCCCAGACCTTGCTACCATCAACTGGGCGATAGAAGCAGAGTCATTTACAGAGTACACAGGCCATAACATACAGCAAAAGTGGAATACAAAAACATCGAGGTGAAGGATTTTTCACAGGGGACTGAGCCAAGCCTTTTGTCCTTAATCAGTCTTTTTTTCTCCACACAGAAAAGTTGAGGAGCATACACATTACGAGCCACAGTGAACTATCTGGGAATAGGACCTGCGAGATCCACCTGACCTGCTCTGTGGAGAATCCAAATGACAATGTCTCATTCAGGTGGCAGGCCTCAGGAGGCATACTTCTAAGTGAACCAAACCTCACTATCTCCTGGGACCCTCAAAATTCCAGTGAACAGAGCTACACCTGCATAGCTCAGAACCCCATTGGCAATTTATCCTCCTCTGTCTCTGCCCAGAACCTCTGCAAAGGTAACAGTCTGCTCCAGGTCTCTCCGAGAGCCCTGAGTAGCTGTGGGGTGTAGCACGTCCTCACATCCTGCGTGATTCCCAGTACAGTGGCCCAGTGGGAGGCAGCCACTGCTGGGAGGGGACAGATGCCCTCTGGAGCTCTGTGCCTCTCGTGGCTCCCAAAGATCTCCCTTCTCCCTCCGTCCCTCCCCCCGCTCCTCTCCCAGCCTCTCCTCCAGCCCACTCAGAGCCTATGAGCAAAGGCTTCAGAAAGGCAGGGTTGCTTTCTCCCCCTGACTCCAGTGGGCCCCACCCTGCCCTGCTTGCCATATGGGACTCCCGCTCCCTGAAAGCCTGCCTGCCCAGAGCCCCAGAGCCTCTGGGTGTAGACAAACCCACACAGCCCCCATAGAGTCCAAGAAGAGGCTCCATGAAGGCCTCACTCAATGTGTCTCAAGTACCACTTCTTTTTTCTCTTTTCAGGTGTTAAGAAAAATCCACACCCAGATAGCACATGGATTATGATTGTGGCTCTTGTGATAGGCGTAGTCCTCATTGTGCTGGTTTTACTCTTTGTTTGGAAAAGAAAAACAGGCAGGTTTTCTTTCTTGCAACTTGTCTGTTCTCCAAGGTTCCAGGGATTTAGAGTCTGGGACCTGTGATTCCCAAGGATCTCTTGTGGAGCACAGGTGAAGGGAGGAAGGATGCAAACCCTGGCCCAGCTGGTCCACTGGGATGACCCCTGGGGTGTGACCACACACCTGCTAATATCCTGAGGGAGATATCCTACTGGGAAAGGCAGGATCCAACCTCAGGGCTGCCTGTCCTTCTTCTGGGGTCCCTCCTGCCACGTCCTCTAGAGAGACACCCATGGGGTGGGGGGCAGAAGGCCTCTCTCACTGCAGTCACACATTTCAGTGTTCTGATTTTATCTTTCAGGTTCCCATTATTTGTCTCCACGGCAAGGCCAGGGTCCTGGTGAGCATCCAGATTCTTAACTCCCAGTCATAGAGCAGACAGGAAGAACCAAATGGAAGAGGAAGGGGGATGGCAAAGGGCTGGATACTGAGAAAGGAGAGAGTCGGAATGTCAGTACTCAGGCAGACCACATGGTGCTAGGGGAGCTGACCTGTAACTGTGGGACCCATAGGGTCCCTCACAAGCATGTGAACTGGTCATTCACAGTTTCTCATGATGAGATCAGGGTCACTGCCCACCCTGCTGATGAATAAACTAAATGCCAGTGAAAGGGCTCGTCCACTGCTACCCAGTAAGTACAGGGCACATACAGGACTAGAGCAGCAAAGACACAAAACCAAACTGCCTGGCTGCATCACTACTGTTCATCCAGAGTGTGGGCAATGGACAGACACAGTCGAAAGAGATAGTGTGACATAGAGTCCCAAACACAGGCTCTGGACTCAGATTGGCTTTCAGTCTCATTTCGTGGATGAGTGATGCATGACATCACTTGTGCAGCAAAGAGCGTGAGACTCGAGGCAGAAGACATGCATTTGAGTTCCTGTTTCATCACTTCCTGTGATGCACAAGTCAATTGAACGTTCTGGGCCTCTAGTTCTTCATCTCTAAAATAATCAAATCCAACTTAAGGACCTTCTGAAAAGTTTAATTACATCCCATGTGTGAGATAATTGGCTACATTCTGTTCACCGGTGAGGTATCTCTAGCTCTTCTGTAGGCAATGCTATTTGGTCCCAGGAGTTTCCTGACCCACATGTGAAGCCTCAGGGACACTCTGAAGCTTTAGGGTACTTCAAGAGCACCCCTAACCCCAAGAGATGAGGTCAGAAATAGATCACATGACTGAGAAGGTTCTGGTCAACCCAGACTTCCAAAGACTGAAAAATGAATGAACCCTATGGAAGGGTGATGCTTCGAACAACTGCCTATTTGGGGACAGAAAGTGCTCTCGGGAAGGCAAGGTCCTGGGAGAGTAGTCCCAGAGTTCTTCTGCCACTGACCGTGCTTCCTGTGTTAACAGCAGAGTCCATGAGGAACACAGAGAATGTTTCAGTCTCTCCAGCCAGCAGCACTGTGTATGCTTCAGTCACTCATCCCAACAGGGTGAGTCTTTCAGCTTCATACTCCATCACTGTCAGGTTTACAGTCATTATTCATAAATTTGTCACCACCATCATCTGACTGATCAACTGACGTACCCCACTGAGGGGAGGAGAAGGCAGCCACAGCAGCTGCAAAGTTCTGTGCAAGATCATTCTAGCATCTGCCATCTGGTTTGCCGTTCTTGCCTGAGGGGATGTTTATTGATACCCTGCTTTACACTCTTCTCTAACTGCTTGATGCATCAGTAAGTCTCTTCAGCTTAATGACAAGCTTCCCGGAAGTGCAAATTATGTCTTCCTCTCTCTTCCTCTATATCCTAGCGGGACACTCAGTAAAGACTTGCTGAATGGATCAGAGTTCCATTAAGTTTGAAAGTTTCCTAAGGAGATAACTCTATGGCCGGGGGCTGGCTCCTCACTCAGGATGTAGGAGTGTAGAATGTTAGAGGACCTCAGAAGTAGTTTCTCAAGAGGGGAAGGGGGCAAAAATTTGCAACTTCTCCACAGTAGCAGCCACTAAACCACAAGAAGCCCTCACTCCTCCCCTCCCCTCTAGCAACATAACAGGATGGCCTTGGTTATGCATCAGCAACTCCCCACTACCCCTAAATAAACCACTTGCAGGTGGCACATTTCTGAATAATACTATACATGCTGGGAGGCCAGTTTTCATGTCTTCTGAAAAATAAGCCAAGAAAACTAGGATTTTGCAAATGATGGAAGCAATGATCTGCTACAAATCTTGGATTCCCTAAGCAAATGTCCCCTCACACAGCCTCTCACAGGTATTTGTGAAGTACACTCCTTGAAATTCTTCTTGAATTTGCTGAAACAAATTCAAATTCAAATCAAGGCTGAATCACTCTCCAACAAACCAAGAAACTAATCTCCTGTAAATGTGTTAGCTTTGTCTTTAACAAAAATTATTGTACTTTGGAGAGTTTCTGAGGTCTTGATAATTCTTTAAATATTCCTTAATTAATTTAAAGTGTCAAAAAATTTGAGCAGGTTCTTTGAGGGGCATGGGAACTTCCACTGTTATTACTGTTGTGTGTATTCCAGGCAGAGCCATGCTTGAGACCCGGTGTTCCTATTCTACCAGTTCTCCATGCTTGAAGAGGCCCCAGTGACATGGTGACCAGGCAATTAGAATTATAGTGAAAAATGAAGCAGACAAAATGGCAGCTCTAGTTATAGCTAGTAAAAATCTGAGACAAAAGATATGATAGCCATTTGGTATATAGTTAGTTCTTTAAAATGGAGGAAGGAAAGTAGAGTTGGACGCAGGACAAAAACAATTCCTTCCCTTTATACAAGGCTGCCTTTCTGTCTCTCTCTGGTCCTTGATCACACTGGTATGCTGGAGTATTGCTCTTCTATCTGGGGTTCAAGAAATGCCACCAAACTTTCACAAGTCTGAGAGCCGGTGGTGTGTGGCCTCCTGCTAAATGTGTCCTGTCCTTCCTCCCAAAGAACTTTGACATACTACCTTTCCTAACCTTTTGACACACTACCTTTCCTAACAATATATCTATGTATGAATCTCTTTGTCTCTGTGTGAACCAAATGGGTATGACTCTTTTTACAGGAAAAAGAAATCCCAACACCTGTGAAAAACAATGATTCTGTCACAATTTACTCCACGATTAATCATTCCAAAGAGGTAAGCCCATGATTGCCCTATGTTCTTACATTCTTATCTTTCTCTTCAGAATTATGATTTTGCAAATAAAGCAAAAGTAAAAGGGTCATTTCACAGATGCATAAATAACAGCAGGATACAGAAAGCCTCAGGACATCACCAAAACATATTCAAGAAGTTGTCTTGTATTAGGGTCACCATGCAAAACTGAGTTTTCAACCTACTTGTTCTTTAATTTAATCCTGCCTTATCTTATCAATGTTCCTACTCGCTGCCTATTGGTGGTTTTCAATCCTCTTTCTGTAGTTCATGGTGGGTGGGTTGAGGTTCTGGTCCCTATTTAACTACTTAATCTTCCTCTTTTATCCATAGAATAAACCCACTTTTCCCAGGGCAACTGCCCTTGACAATGTCATATAAGTTGCTGAAAGGTCTCAAAGGAATTCGGGAATGACACATCTACTGATCCCATGGAGAGGATAAAGAGCAGAAAGCTTGAGTTTGTGCCTGGCAACAGAATCTGAAAATCTAGGATTATCACTTCCAGTCCTTCAGACTTGAACCTGCTTACCTGGGTCATATACCTAAGGATAACATCATTTCCAGCATGTGATCTAAATATTTTCCAGTCCACGCAAGACCAAAACATGCTTCAGATAACACAACTGAGTGTTGACTTTCTCTTTGGTAACTGAGCAAATGGAATTATGGTTGACAGAGAGATTATGGATTTTGGATTTTTGGATTTGGTGTGCTCAACTTGTACAACATTTACTAGACATACCACCTAGGACATATTACCTAACCTCTTGGAGCTTTTGTCTCCTAGACTGAAAAAGGAGGAGGATGGTAATACAGTAGCTGCATTGTTCAAGCCAAGAATCTAACTCATCCTTGACTCCAGCTTCTCTATCACCAGGCCCTTTGGACTCTACCTCAAAAATATATCCTGGACCTATCTATCCAATTCTCTCTAACCCCTTGACCACCATCCTGTATCCAACCATCACCACCTATAACCTGGAACCTACAACAACCTTGGAACAGCTCTCCCCACTTTTGCTCTTGTCCCCTTTCAATCCATTCTCCACAAGATAGCCAGAGTAATGTTTTTAATATAAAACAAGTCTTTCACTTGCCTGCTAAAGCCCTGCAGACTTCCCATTGCACTCAGAATGAAATCCAGTCTACATGACCCTGGATAGTCTGACAATCTCCAGCCTCAGCTAGCATCACTTTCCCCACACCCTCTCTATTTAGCCTCCTTGATTGTCTTTTAGCTCCTCTATTAGAGGAAAATGTTCTCTATATTAAAATCATTTACATCTGCCTGAAGGCCCGTCCTCTGTCTGCTGGGTTCTTCCTCATTCTTTATTCATAGCTTAAATATGTCACCTCTTAAAAGAGACTTTCCCAGACTTCTCTATCTAAAATGGATCCCCTTATTATTCTGTCACATCTTCCATGTCATTTATCATGTCATTAAATATTTATTTTTATTTTTTAATGTCTATTTCTCCCACTATACCATAAGCTATTTAGAAATGATGACTGTTTTGTTTATCATTGTAACCCGAGCACTTAGCATAATATCTAGCATGTTGTAAGTGTTTAATAAATATTTTTTAATAAATAAATAAATGTGTAATGGGTTTTGTGAAAATGAATAAGACATACACCTGAAGCTCTTAGCAGTTTCTAGCACATAAAAGAGCTCAATAAATGTCAGTCATCATTGTTGGTATTATTACTAATGTAATTAGTATAAGTTAATAATTTATTATTATTAAATTACATTCTCTTGAACTCACAGAATCTTCTCACAAACCTTCAGCACAACAAGGCATGTGACAAAGACTAGCTCCCAAGACTTCATGATTCAAAGGGAAGGGGTGGGGGAGTTGGAGCAGGAAGAGAGGAGTGGAGTGGGAAAGAACTAAAATAATGACTACAAACAATACAAAAGGAAAATGAAATTCACCAAAGTTAAATTAATCTCAAATGCTGGCTATTAATTATATTATCAGTCAGTGGAATGGGACAAGGCAGAGAAAGCTTAATTAGGAAGAAGGAAGTGCTTCCAAGGAATAGAGTCATGGAGGCTTCAAAGAAAAGGGAAAGAAGAGGGTTACTGTCATGTCCATGTAATATGGCCTAAAGCTCAGGGGAAATCTTGCCAGGCAGGTAAAAGAGTACCTTTCTTATCAAGGGGATCAAGAATAAAAAGCTGTGCTCACTTCAGCAGCACATATACTGAAAATTAGAACAATACAGAGAAGATTAGCATGGCCCCTGTGTAAGGATGACATGCAAATTTGTGAAGCATTCCATAACAAAATAAATAAATAAAAAGCTTACTTTTTTGAAACCTTGAAAGATGTCCAGGTCCTTCAGAGGGAGAGAAGAAATAATCAGTGAAGTCAGGGCAGGTAGAGAAATACTTTCAACATCTACAGCATCCAAAATCAGCAAGAAAATTAGGGGATATGTCATGGAAGGGACTGCTGATCCATCTAGGGCAAGACATCTACCAGAATCTACTGAGTCTGGATTGCACTGGGGAGGATCACAGCTGAAACAAAAACCAGAAACATGTCTATGGATATCTACGAGGTGAATAAGAAAAGAGCTTACAAGCAAGACTAAACTTATATTTCACTCTATACCAGCTGATAAAATATAGACTTCCTGATTCTTACATTTCCTTCAATCTTTTAAACTTTCTCCATATTTATTTTCAATGCCACACTCTCTTCTCTTGGCTTCTGTGACTTGACATTCCAGTTTTCCTCCTTTTCTTCCTGTCTTCCTAGCTGCTTCTCAGTCTCCTTGTGAACCTCTTCCTCCCCTGCAAGGACCAGTGAAGGCTGGAGCTAAGGCTCAGACGTGGGTCCCTTTCACTTCTCTATCTATGTGTTCTCCTTATCTGATGTCAACCATTTCTATTCCTATAAGATAACTGCTCCCAAACTTATACCTTTAGCCCTGGGCTCCTGGCTTACATCACTAACTGCCTACTTGTATATCTCATCAAAGTTGTATAAAAAAATCAAAACTCTTAATTTTTTCCCTTTAAGCCTTTTCTTCTACTACTCTTTTTCACATCAGTAAATGGCACCATTGTTATGGGACATTCTTGATCAGATCTCCTTTACAGGCCTGAAGACCACCCAGTACTCACCATATAATTAATCATTTTCTTTTCTTGTGAGAAACAAATGGGTTTCACCAATGATAACTAATCCATTGTTCTGAAGGTAAATATTAATACATTAAGACCTGAATGCATCATTCCCAAAGATATATTATGTATTTTGTAAGCAGGGAAGAAAACATGCAATGCTTACAAAATTCCTACCAAAAAAATTTTTTTTGTCCACAAAGTAAATTTGTTCTTTATAATTTTTATTGGAGGATGGAGGAAACTGTAGACCCATTAAACTGCTTTGATTGAGGTAAGAAGGCTGTAATTAGCTGCCCTAGGAAGGTAATAAAAGGGAATAAAGATCCTCTCCCCTTTCAGCAGCCCCAGTCATACCCACTGGGCAGTCACAATCCTTTGTCATGCCTACAAGACCCTTACTCACATCTCTACTCCTTCTTTTACAGCATCCCAGCCACACTATTCTTCATCCAGCAACTAGCGTAATCCAAAAGGGCCTTCCTGCTTCTGCGCCTTTGCACTTTCAGTTCCTTCTGGAACATCTTCTACACACACGCACACATGCGCATAAGCTAACTAATCCTTATTCATCCTTCAGGACCCAGCTTCTACATCACTTCTCTGGAGGAGACTTCCCTAACATACTCACCCTCACCCCCAGCTAGGTCCGTTCTTCCTGTTATATGGTCTCATAGCTCCCTGTATTTTTCTAATCATTTATAAAAATTGTAATTTTGTAAGTATTTATGTAATTGTATATACATATAAATGTATATATCTTCACTGGACCCTGAGTCCTAAGAGAATAGGGACAGTGTCCCCAGAATCTCACCTGGTACCCTAATCTATCAAAGCAGACACTCACTAAATACTTGTCGAATACATGAACAAACAATAGATAGGAAGTAATTTTAGTGGAAAGGGGTGGAGGAGAGAAGTTTTAAAGACTAGAGAAAGAACCAGTGTACACAATGAATGAACTAAGATTATTAGAGTGCAACCAACATTGGGGAATGTTGAGAACCTAGTAGGGGTTCCTTCTACATAGAAGGGACAGGTCTTCAAAGGAATCACACCAGGATGACAAACCCCAAACTTCCTCATCACGATAATCTGATCTGCCTCTGAAATCTCAAATTTGAAAATACCTCTCCCCCTCTTTCTTCCATTCCCCCTATACCCACTGGTGTTTCTTCCCCTGACCCCTATCTGACTACCTTTAATTCCTTGTTTACAAATGAATAAAGCCATTATTAATACTCTATGCTCCCTCTTCCTTAGCTTTCGGCTCTGCTGGGCCAATATCCAATCCAAAGTATTCCCTACCCCCATCCTGATTTCACTAAACTGTAAAGCCCGTAAGAGGAAATCACAAACCATGCAGCACACCACAAGTCCACCCAATTGCTCTTTGGACCTTTGTCCCATTCAATGATACTTACACACCCCAGCTATTCCACACTTTCTCCACACTTTACATATTCTCGATCCTACCACCCTATCACCTATCCAATGGTTCCTAACTCCTTGGCTGTTCATTTGAATCACCTGGAGATTTTTAAACTACTAAAGTCAGGGCCAACCTCCAGAGATACTGATTTAATTGGTCCAGGCTGGGACTCAGGCAACACTATTTTTAGCTACCCAGGTAATTCTAATGTACCACTCCCTCCCACACGCCCTCAATTCCTTTGTCCCTCAACTTTGTGTTGTACCTGACAGGCCAAAAAATAATATTAAATAATAATAATAAAAGTCAATATTTTTTAAATCCAACTCTTTGACTCATTCATGCCTGAATTTGCACAACTAAAGGTAGCTGGAGAAAAGCACACAACCTCGCTGATTATTCTCTCTTAAATTTATTATCCCTAACCTCAATGCTGCCAGGCAATTATACTTTATTGCCCTCGTTCATTCTGTCACTCTCCTAGACAACTAGAAGATGAAAGCAGGGAAATAATGGGGAGCGTGAACCTTCAAATACTTCCACGACCATCTTCACTCTTAGCTTCCTCATTGATAAAATAGAAGCCATCTGAAGAGTATTTCTACACACTTGCACCGTAACATCTATTTCCTACTATATCTTCTCTTCTGCTACTATGGACAAATTAACTGTGCTTCTAGCAAGGGACACTTATGCACTTACTTATGCACTACTTATGCACTAGAACCCATCTCTTCTCACTTGCCCAAGGACATCACTCCAGCAATTCTCCCCTTTCTCTCCCTGCTTTAACAAATTCCCTCTCTACTGGATCTTTCTCATCAAATTACAAACATGTTTTTATTTCTCTCATCCAATTAAAAACAAAACAAAACAAATGACCCTTGAATCCACTTCTCTCTCTAGCTACTGCACTATTTCTCTCCTTCCTTTACAGCAAAATTCCTATTGCTCTCCTCCCACTGTCTTGGCCCATTAAAACACTCATTCCTCAATTTGCTTGACCTATCAGCAACATTCAATATGGTCAATCCTTCCCTCCTTGAAAGATTTTCTTCAGTTATCTTCCAGGACACCACATTTTTCTGATTTTCTTCTGACCTACCGGCCATTCCTTAGTCTCCTTTGCTGGTTCATT